CTCTCTGAAATTGTTCTGGGACTGTGATGAATCCTCGTTTACAAAGTCCCCTCCTTGGTCTTCCCTCTCAATCTCTTCCTCACCGACATTCTCTTCACCATTCTCCATACTACTCATCCTCTGTTCGTATTCTATTCTGAACTCTGTCAGCTTGTTCTCCAATTCTGTTTTCTGCAGGGTAAGTTCTGCCTTAAAGTCAGCTTTGAGCTTGGCCAGGTCCTCCTCATGTTGCATCTCTAAATCCTTTATGTCTTGCTCGTGAGTTTCTTCACTCTGGCGAACCTCTGCCTCATGCTCTTCCTTGAGACGTGCTAGTCTGGCTGCATGGGCCTTTTTCTCAGAAGTTTCCTGAGGAAAAAATTGTATAATAATTAGGGAATAAATATATATATAGAACACATGGATTTAGAAAACAACAACTTCAATCCCTATATATCCTTTAAGAACTGATGAAACAATTCAAACACACAATTACACACACACACACACACACACACACACACACACACACACACACACATATTCCTCTTACTAACAAACAGATTCAAAGCCTAAAGCCTAAAAGCACCTTCTCTTTAGCTTGTCTTGCTGCCTTCTCCAGCTCCTCCTCCAGCTCGTCACGAAGGACTGTCAATTGCTTGTTGTGCTCTCTCTTGATGTCAGCCTGTCGTTCTCGCAACACTTCTGTCAGGCCGCGCTCCAGGTCTGCCACTGCTGCTGCCTCGTTGCTGTTCCTTTTTGGGTATCAGGTCATTAGTACTGATAACTGATAAGCTGAGATTACTGAATGTCATCAATAAAAAAGGGAAAGCAATGTACCTGGTAGCAATAGCAGCCTTTGTCGCGCTGACTTCTGCTTGTGTTGCCTCCTTCTGTTCCTGATACAGTGCCTTCAGCTCCTTCTCCAGCTCTTGCATCTCCTGGAACTCATCAATCAAGGGAATCAGCTCAATGCTATTAATTATTATCCTGCAATTTGTGAACTAAATGCAATGAATCCTATGAATATACAAAATCAATCAGATGTAGCATAATAGTTGAATGAACCTAACACATCATGAAAGCCTTTATGAGAATAATGAAAAGTCTAATTCATCTTGTTTTTATAGGAGTTTTTTGTTATTTTTTGCTTTTTAATGAGAAGAATAATGAGGTTTCTTGAGGACCTTAAAATGTGTTTGTTGTGCTTATATTAAACAGTAAGAAAAGAGGGGAATTATCATGGGTAATTATGTGGAAGTCTCTTAATTTGTAAAAACATTAAAATGATAAATGAGAAAAGAGAAGGGAAAAAATAGTAGAAACACTGTATGAAAAACAAAGAGAAAAAGAAGGAAAGACAAAGTTTAAAAAATAGAACAAGAGACAAAAATAACCAGAAAGAAAGAAGAAACCAAAACAAAAGAAAAAACATAAATTAAGAAACCCCCCCCAAAAAAAAGAAAAAGAAAGAAAGAAAGAAGAAAAAAATAATCCCCACCTCTTCATGTTCCTGCTGCATTTCCTCCTTCTTCTTCTGCATTTCTTGGACATACACCAACTTAATATTCTCCGTCTCCTTCTCGTTCTCCTTCCTCAAGTCTTTGGCTATTCTTTCCCTCTCTTCCTCGGCTTCCTTTTCCAGGCGGGTTTTTATCTCTTCCGTCTTCTTCTTGTGGTCCGCTTGAAGCTGCGTCTCGAGCTGCTTTCGTGCTGACTGAGTTTTCTTCTTCTCTTCCTCTTGGAATTTCTGAAGTGTGGCTGCATTTTCCTTCCTGTTAGAGACAAGTTTATTGATTAGAAATAATTTTTATGTTACCTGTTTCAGCTTTTTCAAATAATTTTTTGCTTTGTCTTCTCTGGACTGATTGATCTGATTTTCTAGATTCTACATTTGTTAAAGGGATTTACTTTTATTTTCATTTATCAGTTTTTTTATATACACTCCCCTTAATCCATTTCTATGGGAGATTGTGTTTTAGAAGTGCAAAACTTATTGTTATTTATGAAAGATTACGATGTAGAAATTGGATAAACAATAAAAAAAATTCCAACAAACAAATGACTGCAATTCACAAAGAAAGCAGAGAGGGGACAGAAAAACATTTTCCCTTGAAATGTCTTCCTTCCTGAAGAGAAATGACAAAAAGAGAAAGGAAATCCCTAAAAGATTAATTGAAAAATCCTGGAAAAAAGAAAATTTTAAAGTTAACAAATAAACATATTGAATTAATAGACAAAAAGACCACACAAAAAAATTCAATTTGATATGAAAAAACCTTGAATATGAAAATAAAGTAAAACAAATAGAAACGTTAAGAAAATATTGTAATGAAAATGAAACCTTGATGTTTAAATGAATAAACAAAGTAATAAAAATAAGAAAAAACAATGACAAGAGTAAAACTTGAAAAAATGACTAATGAAAACCCTTAAAACAGGAACAAATATACCAAAAATAAATACCCCCCCCCACACACACACACACGCAAAAGAAAAATAATAATAAAATCATATCCTTGAAAACAATTCAACAACAAACCTTATCTTTTCCTCCATCTCTCTGAGTTCCTTGCTGAGTCTTTCCCGAAGTGCTTTCAGATCCTCTTCTTGTTGCTTGCGGATCTTCTGTTCCTCAGCCACACGGAACTTAGATGTCTCTTCCTGTGGGGTTTAGGAAATGTTTGTGAGTAATTCTTTAGCAAGATCTCAGGAATGGTGATTGTCAAGGAATGAATGGTTATGAACAGTAAGGGACTGAATGATAATGAACAGAAGTGTTCATTAGTACTGAACAACAGGAAACTGAACAGTTTTGAACAGAGGAAAGAATGGCTTCCAACTGAATAATTCTGAATAATGGGAACTATATGGCTTTGAACAACAGAGTATTCAATACTGTAGTAATTTGCACATAAAATAAAGTTTGTTCTAAAGGAAATTATGAACTTCCTTGCTCCTGAATATATGAAAAAAGTTGAAAAAAATAATCATCAGACCTGACGATTATCTTTGGTACTTATTTCAATGACAAAAGAATCTCTATACCAAACGAGGCAAGGTACTATCTAATGAATCATTCTATCATGTATGACAAATTAGTTATATTCCAGCTCTAATGTATTCTACTCAGTGAATAAAGTGTGTATGGCCATGTTGCTTTAATGATAAGGCAAGGATATTAGCACTCGTTTGCTATCTGCATTAATATATAAATGTATATGAAGCACGAAGGCACCTACTTGAATTTTCCTCTGAATTTCAGCATAATCAATCTTCACTTTCTGCTCTTCTTTACTTGCAGCAGTCTGACTCTCCTCTTCCTGCAATGATGTTAAAAGAATCAAAACTGTTAAAAAGAACCTAAAAGATACATGAGAACATTCTACTAACACAAAATATTCAAAGGATAATGGTTTATGAATAACGCCTTACCTCTGTTTCTTCATTCTCCATCAATTTATTAAGGTTCACAGTCAGGTTCTTCGGTGTCAGTTCTGATGGCTTTGGCGTTGTCTTCCCTGTGCTGCTGGCTTGAGCTGTGCTTTGAGGGGGTTCCTTGGGCTCTGTTCTCCCACTAAGCTTGGCCACTACGCGGTCGAGGGGGTTCGTCTTGCGCTGCTTGGGGGCCCCTTCCAGCTCAAGCTTCCTGTCCTCTGGTGCCACGGGGAGATCAGACTTCTTGACTGGATCAGAAGGCTTCGTTTGGCTCTCCACTGGCTTTCCTTTGCTCTCAGACCCTGCTCCCTGCTGGCTTGGTGTGGCAGCTGGAGGCTTAACCGCTGCTGGTTGAGGTTTCTGTGGTCCCTGAGGAGCTGGGTTCTGCAAGGTGGCTGGCTTGGGCTGTGTATTCTGGATCTGTTTTGCTGGAGCGCTGGGTGGTGTGGCTTGCGCCTTAGCTGGCTGTCTTTCCTGGGGGGTTTGGCCAGCTTTACTTTTGTCTACCTCCACAGCCTGCTTCCTCTGGTCCTCCTCCTTCTGCCTGCGAAACTCCTTCAGGGGGTCACGGGAACCACCTGAGTCCCTGCTGGGGGTACCTGCAGAAGGATCACCTGCCCAGGGGTCAGCACTAGGCGGTAGGGACCTCTGCTGGGCTTTGGGAGCTGAATTGAGGAGATCGGAGGCATCGTTCAGGACCAAACCTTGGTCGTCACTGTAGTCATCAATCACTCCTCTGGCTTTCAATAGGGCCTCCTCTTCCTGCAAGGGTATTGGAGGCATTATATAATGGTGGAGCAATTGAGAAAGATGAATAATAATAATAATAATAATAATAATAATAATAATAACAATAATAATAGTTACATTAATACAAATACTAACAATATCAATAACAATGATGATAACAATTACAATAAGGATAATAATAATAATAATAATAATAATAATAATAATAATAATAATAATAATATATAATAATAATAATAATAATGTGTGTGTGTGTGTGTGTAATGTGTGTGTGTGTGTGTGTGTGTGTGTGTGTGATGTATGTGGTCGTGTGTATGTGTGTGTGTGTGTGTGTGTGTGTGTGTGTGTGTGTGTGTGTGATCTGTGTGTCCTTTGTATTTGTATTTGCATTTGTGTTTGTATGTTTTTACATGTGTGTGTGCATGTGCATGCGTGTGTGTATGAATACAAGCGCAAATCTCTATATCTCACCGGGTCTTCAGCTTCACTATCAAACTCCTCTTCCTCCTCCTCTTCCTCGTAATACTCTTCCTCTTCCTCTTCCTCCTCAAGCATCTCCTCCTCCTCCTCCAGTTCCAGCTCTTCCTCATCCTCGTAGTCCTCCTCAGATGAGTGGAACTGCAGGTCGTCCGTTTTGAAGTCAAACCTGAGGTTCTTCGTCTCCTTGGGCTGCAGGAGCGCCATTCTGTCGATTCCTGGAGGAGGAGGAAGAAGAGGAAAGATTAAAAAATGCCGAGAAAGTATAAAGAAGAGTAAATGAGAAAGAAAAAAATAATGACGAAAGACAAAATAAGGATGTGTCAACAAGAAAGAGGTAGTGAGCACTGCTAGTCGCCAAATGTAAAGGGAAGACCTCTGGCACCAGATGTCAATGAGACACGTGATGGTCTTATAGTGAAGGTGCATGAAAAGGGTCGTGGCTTGGGTGTTGGATGTGAAAGGTAGATGCTCACCAGAAGAGAAGAGAGAGAGAGAGAGAGAGAGAGAGAAGAAAGAGAGAGAGAAAGAGAGAAAGAAAGAAAGAGAAAGAGAGAATAAAAGAAAGAAAGAAGAGAGGGATGGGAGAAGGAGGAGGATAAGAACAACCCCGAGGACATGGAAGAGGTGGACATATAAACAATATCCAACAATGGCGGACAGGTAGAGCCTCAAGCCTCTGTCCTCAGGAGCTGCCTTCCTTGTAGGTTCCTCCTTGAAGGAACACCTACGTCCACTCAAGGATATTATTGTTGGAGAGTCAGTACATGATGTACAAAAAATGCTATGATGAATGATGATGGCAGTTATGGTGTTAATAATAATAATAATAATAATAATAATAATAATAATAATAATAATAATAATAATAATAATAATAATAATAACAATAATAATAATAATAATGATAATGGTATGGCAGGTATGGTGTTAATAATAATAATAATAATAATAATAACAATAATGATAATGGTAATGAAAACAATGATAATGATGATAATAATGGTAATGATGATGATGATGATGATGATGATGATGATGATCATCATCATCATGATTATCATATCATCACATCATCATCATCATCATCATCATCATAATAATAATAATAATAATGATAGCAATACTGGTAATAACAATAATAACAATAATAATGACAACGACAATGATAACAATAAAGAAGATAGCTAACAACAACAATGATAACAATAATATCATTAACATTAATAGAATTATTTTTTGCACTCCTCAATTGGACAAATACTCCAAATTCTTTCGTGATTCGACAGAGAAGCAGACACATTCCAGTGACTTCACGCAACGGCCTACTTCACAGGGGGGGGGGGGGGGGGGAACGTATTTTTTTTTTTTCCGCACAGACCAACTCCACACAATTCATGAGATTCTTTCAACTTCCTAGAAACTGGATAAAAGAAAAGAATCCTTTCCTTCCACCAAGCGACTTTTACGGAAATCAACGGATATATTTTAGATAGTTTCCCCGCCGGAAATGTGTCGATAGGACCAGCATTCCAACGGTAAATATGCGGACCCGCCATTTCTCAGGACCAGCAAGCCTCTTCAAGCTTCCTCAAGCCTTTTCAAACTTTCCCAAGCCTCTTCAAGCTTATTCGGACTTCCCTAAGCCTTTTTCAAGTTTCATCAGGCTTCTTCAAGCCTATTCAAACTTCCTCAAGCCTTTTCAACCTCGGCGAATCCTCCACAAGATTGCTTTAGCCTCCTCAAGCCTTTTCAAGCCTGCCATAGACTGCTCAATCAATTTTCAACCTGTTCAAGCTTATGAAAGCCCTGCTAAAGTCCTTTTTCAAACCATCTCAAGTTTCCATAAACCCTCTCGACCCTCTCCAAGCCTGTCATGATCTGATCAATCTCCCCAAGTCCACCATATTTTTTTAGGTCCTTTTCAAGCCTACCCCAAATTGTTTAATCCTCTTCAAACCTTACCAATCTTCTTTAATGCTCATCAAGCCCATTCAAGTTACTCAATCACCTTCAAGTTCTTCAAACCCGTTTGGGTAACTCAAGCCTTTTCAACCTTGTTCAACCCTCTTCAAGCCCTTCCAAGCCATTTCAACCTGGTTCAACCTTCTCCAAGCCACTTCAACCTGCTTCAATCCTCATCAAGCCCGTCCAAGCCCTTTTCTTCAACCTAGTTCAACCCTCTTCAAGCCCGTTCACGCCCTTACTGACCTCGCCCGCCGAAGTCATCTCCGAAGTCCCCGCCCGCAGCGCCCGCCACACGTTCGCCCAACATGGCCTCCTCCTTCACACTGCCGCGCCAAATACTCCTCTCTCTCTCTCTCTCTCTCTTCTCTCTCTCTCTCTCTCTCTCTCTCTCTCTCTCTCTCTCTCTCTCTCTCTCTCTCTCTCTCTCTCTCTCTCTCTCTCTCCCCACTCTTATCCTTTGCCCTCCTCCCATTCCCTGTTTTTCCATCCTTCCCCCTTTTCCTTTTTTTTTTCTCTCGTCCCTTTTTCTTCCTCCTCCTCCTTCTTCTTCTTCTTCTTTTCCTCCTCCTTCTTCTTCCTCTTCTCCTTTTCCTCCTTTTTTTCTTCTTCCTCGTCGTCGGTCGTCGTCGTCGCTTTCATCTTCTTCTCCTCCTCTTCCCAGCACTGCCCAATAACGAATCACCCCATAACCCTCCAGACACGCCCTAGCCCACCACAAACCACGCCCACCAACTACTCCCCCCCCTCCTCCACCCCAACCCATACCCCCCTTCATCCTTCCCCTGCTGACCACGCCGCCTTCGATAAATCAATCCCGACGGCGCAGCTGCAGGAGGAAGAGGGGAGGAGGAGGAGGAAGAGTCCCCGCCGCCCTCGGTATGCCACTCCGCCCTCTCATGCCGCCGGGCCAACAGGTCTCGTAAGGACTAGGGGCACGCACGCGGAACCCTCCCCCCCCCTCCCCCTTGACCAATGCCGCATCGTGCCAACACCGTGCTTGCGTCAGGTCACAGCACTTTGCCCACACCACACCGCGTCCAGCCCAGGCCATGCCAACTCCGTGTCCTGGGCCACTGCACCTTGCCAACACCGTACCCACATTAATGACAACACTTTGCCCACACTACATCGTGCCCAGTGACAAGAATCAAGACTAACATAGCATAGGGTATGGGACTACCGTGTCGATATTGCCATAATCAGAACCACACTATTGACAGCCATTCATACTGGATGACGTCACAACACGCTACTGGAGCGATTCGAGAGGGAGAAGGAGGGGGAGGGGCAGGGAGAGAGAGGGAGGGATATGAAGGGAGAGGGAGGGTGGGAAAGGTAGAGGGAGTGGGAGAGGTAGGAAGAGGCGGAGTGGGGAGGGACGGAGGAAGGAGATAGAGAGAGAGAGAGAGAGAGAGAGAGAGAGAGAGAGAGAGAGAGAGAGAGAGAGAGAGAGAGAGAGAGAGAGAGAGAGAGAGAGAGAGAGAGAGAGAGAGAATGAGATCGAGACAGACAGAAACACAGACAGAGAAAGAAAAAAAAAATCTACAAGAACGCACAAGCAACAGATAACAAGATCCGAATCAAACTCCGAGAGACGACTCGAACCGGCACACGACACGCAAGGCAATTCCTCACACACAAACACCGTTCTTAAACACCGTTCTTCTTTCCGAAAATTCCCTCTGATAAGGGAATACTGACAACAGCGGCCGCGAGACTCAGGTCACAACAATGCTGATATATTGTCATCTATCTAATAGATCGTCCAAGATCGAAATCTATTTATCCCTAAGAAGACGAAATCTATTTATCCAAGATCGAAATCTATTTATCCTTAAGATCGAAATCTCTATTTATCCCATCTATTTATCCTAAATCGAATCTATTTATCCACAATAATATCGAAATCTATTTATCCATAAGATCGAAATCTATTTATCCTTAAGATCGAAATCTATTTAATCTCTACGAAGATCGAAATCTATTTATTCACAATAATATCGAAATCTATTTATCCCCATGAAGATCGAAATCTAGTTTATCCAAAATAATATCGAAATCTATTTATCCATAAGATCGAAATATTATTCCACAATATATCGAAATCTATTTATCATAAGATCGAATCTATTTTATCCCACAATTATCGAAATCTATTTATCCATAAGATCGAAATCTATTTATCCTTAAGATCGAAATCTATTTATCTCTACGAAGATCGAAATCTATTTTATTACACGAAATAATATCGAATCTATTTATCCTAAGATCGAATCTATTTATCCACAATAATATCGAAATCTATTTATCCATAAGATCGAAATCTATTTTATCCCATAAGATCGAAAATCTATTTATCCTACGAAGATGAAATTCTATTTAATCACATATTATCGTAAATCTATTTATCCATAAGATCGAATCTATTTATCCTTATACGAAATCTATTTTATTCCCATTCGAAATCTATTTATCCACAATTAATCGAATCTATTTATCTCTAAGATCGAATCTCTTTATCCTAGATCGAAATCTATTTATCCACACTATCGAAGGATCGAATCTATTTATTCTACGAAGATCGAAATCATTTATCCTTAAGATCGAAATCTATTTATCCTACGAATAAATCGCAAATCATTTATCCTTAAGATCGAAATCTATTTAATCCTTAAGATCGAAAATCTATTTATCCTTAGATCGAAATCTATTTATCCACAATAATATCGAAATCTATTTTCCTATCGAAATCTATTATCCCCAAGAAGATCGAACTCTATTCATCTACTAAAAAGATCGAAATCTATTTATCCACGAGGGACGAAGTCAATCTATCCCTTAATAGGATCTAATTCCCCTTCTCCATATCGAGAGAACAATTCATCCATAACAAGATCGAAATCTATTTATATGCAACAACCCACCGTTACTCATTAATCTTTAACGCCAATATCTATTTATCTATAGATGAACTGAAATCTTTATTTTATCCGCAATAACATCACATTCATAATAACATCGAGACATCAC